ATTTTATGTATGCCAATGTGGCCGAAATGAGTCCAGTTTCTAATGGATAGATAACTGTAACCCGAAGATACATTCCATATTTGCATATCAGATCAAAAAATACTGTTATATTCAATAGCAACTAACAGGTCTTAAGATTTGATATGCGATCGCAGCCAACTTCACAAGTATCAGCTTAACAGCTTCAGCTAACATAATAGATCGAAACTAACGGCTAACTCAGCAGACCCGATTGCAGCCAACTTAACGAACCTGACTTTTGTTGGCTTGAAGAGTTCGTGCATTTAACCTATTTGACTTGAACACCAACTTAATTTAATTAAAAAATAAACATGTTATTGTTTCAAAGTGGAAATCCCATTTAAATGCTCGCCACATATTTGCGAATAGCGCATATCAATATTTTTGCACCACTGTGCACATAGAAACCTAGCTATCTAAAGCCCAGCCACAAGCATTATCTTTATAGCAACGTTTAATACCCACCATGCATGTATAGGCACATATGTATATATATTTATGTATATATATTTTCAGTTATATCTTGATGTCAGTTAATGTGCCACAAATGCAAATTTGTTGAGCTTACGTGAAAAGTAATATATTACATATATTATATAATACAAATATTAAATATATATAACATATATATTCAAAGACACACTCATGTCAAGTCATTGCCACTAGGCGTGCTTGACTTATGCATTAAAGAGAACAACAGCAAAGACGCATTGCTATCGCAGCAACTGATAAGCGATAAGAGCTGGCACTGACAATAGATAAGATTTGCCCGCGCCCAAAGCCTGGCAGCTGGCTATATAAAGATGCTGTGGATAAACAGTTAGTTAGTTGAATTAATTAAAACATTTCGAGTTGGGACTCGCAATTAGTTATAGCCAAACAGCTTTGGAGCATAGAGCTCAATTTATGGATACGAAACAGCAGCAACGACAACGACAACGACAACGACAACGAAAATAAGAACAACAACAAGTTGGATAAATACATGCGACTTTGCATACTAAGTACCTCATTAGGGGGCACGTTGAGGAGCCACACACATCGATCAAATGGCATGAGCATTGAAATGGGCCCCCAGTTCAGGCCGAAAGATCCATAAAGAATAAACGAGCCGTTTTATAAGCCATATACGAAGCGAAGGCAGCGTAAACAAAATAGAATTTTTTGCACTTTGCTGTTGCATTTTGATTGTATAATTAATCGGGTTTGCTTTTTGTTTTTTATTATTTTTACATTTTTAGATGCTAATGCCTCTGAGTCACAGGCCTTTGCATTCCAATGTCGTTTGATCGACTGAATTAAGGGGTATCTCAGGATCAAGACAATCATCGATTGCTACTAGAGAATACAATTGCTTAGCAGGTACCTCGAACTATAGGGCATGTCGAGCACTGCTGCGTTCTCAAATAAATCCAAGAAGCTGGTTTAGATTGATTTAGATTTATTTAGATTGCATAGGGGCCGTCGTTAGCTTTCCGCCCGATTCTGATAATTAGTAGTGGGAATGGAAATTGAGACAGATTCTGAAAACTGTGCTGGGTATCTGCCCGCATAGGCAACTCCATTGAAACGCCCTTGTGTTTTGTTTTGCTTTCATTTGTTTGTTTGCCCTGCGTGCCGAGTTCGCGCAGTGACTGACGCACTGACGTCAAAATCTATATAGTCGCTACAAGTATGTATATATATGTTTCTATTCTACAGCGCCTAGCCATAGCCTACGATAACTGCGACAGCTTGGCCGACTATTTGAGCCTGCAAAGAGGAGTCGCTCAGGCCCGACTCGTGGAGCCATCGATGCCCACGACACAGCAGCACACGTCGCTGCTCAAGTTCTTGGCCATTGTAAGTACCAGTTCGTTAGGCAGAGGTCTGGGGTGGGGCTACATACGTATGTATATGCGGTGTTATGAACGTTTATGATAATCGCCGATGATAAAAGCAAACACACTTCCTGCTTGCAACCTCAGACAATAAGCGAGCAATTGTTGCCCGCTTCTTTCTGCATTAATTTCGCGTTACGAAAATATAAACAAAAAGTATTTACGCCCCATATAGTATAATAAAATGTTGTTTGTTTTGTTTTCTTTGATATATAGAAAAGAAATATGAATGATTGAAACCAGTTTCGCCGAGAAACAAAATCAAAATCAAAAACAAAAATCATCTTCAATTTCTTCGGCTCTGTCGCTGGGGCGAGATATCACGACAAGCATGAAATGAATTTTTACCTTTTCATATTTTGTATCTTATTTAATGAGTTTCCTTTCGCGTTATCTGAAGGTTTTTGCACCCTTGGGCCACAATTGGGCATATGAACTCCGAAACTCTGTTTGGAATTCGCTAAATTCGATTTCAATCAATTATATGGCTCCATTGTGCCATTCGACTCGCACTTAATGTAATATCCGCAAATTACGTTTACAGATAAGTGGTAATACGCTCTCTGATATTAGCATTCAATTGGGAATAAGTTGGGTTTTCATTTTCATTCATTTACTGTTCCGCGTTCCTTTATAGCTTGGGTATTATTTACATCTTCATTTTCTACGAGTTTGTTTCTGTCTCTCGCAATTTCACAATTTTATTTTTGGATTGTTATCGCAAGAGGTTTGGTCTATTACGCCTCGGCACCTGTGTTCTTAAGATACCAAATTTTAATGGCATGGATAATATAATATTCAAATAAAAACAGAATAAGAGCATATTTCTCTTTCTCACTCTCGATTCTTGTATTTCTACTCTATTGCCCTTTACTCCATCCATTTTCTATCAGAACTTTTCTGTTCTATTGACCTTTCTACCCTTTCTATACCTCTCTTTCCTTTCTTTATTCACTATATGTTCCCGCTCACCTTCTCGCTCTATCACCTATTCACCTTTACTCCTTCGCTCAGACTTTTCCACTCTCTCTCTCTCCCTCTCATCTACTATTTTAAACTTAGTTATAGACATATTTAAGGGGGGTTTTCCCATCACCTATTGTTACTAAATACAGTTTCCCACCTCTTGTTGTTTTTTAGAACGCTTTGGAACTGAGCGCCCCTGCCACACCCTTGCTGCTGGAACAGCAACAGACGCAATCCAAACCGCACGGCTGGATGCAGCTCTCCGGTCATCCCGAGAGGTAAGCAACGCAACTGAAATGCTGCTCTCATAGCAAAGCCTAACAAATCTCTGTCTTCCTTTCACCCCCATTTAGCATCGTGCCTACCTCGTCGGGCATTGTGCGCAAGCGGATCGCTGGCATCGAGGACAGCGAGGTGTTGGCCTATCAGCAGATCTCGCAGGAGCCGAAGACCTCACAGATTGTACCCGCCTACTTTGGATTGCGGGAGCTGCAGGGACAGCACTACATCGAGCTGCAGGATCTGCTGGCCGGCTTCAAGGATCCGTGTGTGATGGACATTAAGCTCGGTAGTCGCACCTTTCTCGAATCGGAGGTCAGCAATCAGACGCTGCGTCCGGATTTGTATCAGAAAATGATCGCCGTGGACGCCAGTGCACCGACGTCTGCAGAGCACGAAGCTCAGGCTGTTACTAAGCTGCGGTACATGCTCTTCCGCGAGTCGTTGTCTTCGTCGCACACCAAAGGATTCCGCATTGAGGCGCTGCGACTGCGTGGACGCGCACCTCTGAAGGATCTCAAGACGTGCCGCAGCAGCGAGCAAATCTCACAGACTATCGAGCAGTTCCTTGCCGCACGCAGATCCGTGCAAAAGGAACTGCTCAAACGGTTGAAGCACATGCGCCTGGTCATCGAACAGTCCGCATTCTTCAACCGCCATGAAATAATTGGTTCTAGTTTGTTCATCGTCTACGACGACCATCGCATGGGCGCTTGGCTCATTGACTTTGCCAAGTCCCGGCAGCTGCCACCACACCTGTGCGTCAATCATCGCAGTCCCTGGCAGCCAGGCAACCGGGAGGAGGGTCTACTCCACGGCATGGATGAGCTGATCCACGCCTTCGAGGAGGTCTATGCGCGCAGCAGTAGTCATCGCAGCTGCTTGAAAATCTGAGCAATGAGCTCCCTGTTTCAGCGTGCTCCACTTGCTACGCATTTGCCCACAGCCACGCCCACCTACAGGCACATAAGACTGATTTGCATGTCGCCCAGAAAGAGGAAGAGGATAAGAAGAGCAGAAGGCCTTCACTGCACGCGACGCATTTTAACTATTTTCCATATTGGAAGCAAACGATAAGCGCCAGATCTATCTATACATCAAATTTACATATATGTATATACTATATAGACTATAGTATGTATATAGAGAGAACGATTAGTATTGAGCACCAAGCAGCATTTTGTTTGATTGAAAAACAGGTTTAACTTGATTAAGTATTTAAATTTAAGAGAGCAAGAGAGAGTAAAAATGTATCCACTGTAATAAAAAGAAAATCTCATGATAAAATAAGATAAAACATCAAAAAGAATATAAAAATTGTCTTTTACTATATATATAATATATATTCTTTGGGCTCTTACAAGCGATCGCTAAAAAATTTGCATCTAGCAATTACTGCTTTCATCAATGTGCTATCAAACTCACTTTTTACTGTGGAAATTGAATTAGAGATCAGTCTTTTCCTTTCGGTCAGTGCTCTCAGCTAGGTAAAATATGGGATGAACTTTAAAATATTCTATTCAAACAAAGTTTGTTATATATAGCAAAATTTTAGCTCACTGCGGAACTAAAATTGATTTCCTTGAATATCATTACGAGCACTGAATTATGAACAGTCCGAGTATATTTATCGTGGATTGCTACGTGTTTCAATTCATAAAATAGTATGTTAAAATGATTTGGAAATTCAATGAGATTTAATCGAATTGAAGAAATAAATCAAATATTGAATTATGCAGGGTATGATCATATATTATATTTCAAAATTAGATTCTTAATATCTTACAAATTTGAATAAGTAGAGGAATTAATAGGCTTACAAAACTATATTTTAAAATAAGTTGTTGCTTTTTCGATTGTTGTACAAGTTTATGCTCAAGCTGGATATCTACATGGTGCATATAAAATGATCTGGATCGATGCTGGAGTAAATATGTCCCTCGGATATCATGAAGTCCAAAATGTTGCTATGGGGGAAGATGAAGACATAAACATAGATTATATGGAATGAGGGATTCAAGAGTTGATACGATGACACTCACTTCAGTTCAGTTTGACTTATATGCGAGAACTTGGCTTTGAGTTCTCGTCGATTGATGCCTTCCTCGGAACAGTTGCTCTTGATGGCCTGGAAGACAGCCAGCTGCTTGCTGTCCAGGCCAGCGACAATAGCATTGCTCTGGCTTGCTGACACATTGCTCATGGTCGAATCGCTTGGAGCTTGTGATGAATTACCCTTAACATGATATTCCTCGGCCTTGTAGCGGGAGTGCAAAGCCTCCAGTACGTGGGTGCACACTTCATTGGGATCCAGCACGTTGATCAGCTTAAAGACCATCAAAACCTTTTGACCCGCCTGCGGACGTACTGAGCCATAGATCTTTACATAGTTATTGATCATGACATCGGGTGCTTTGATCGCATCGCCTTCTTCTAGCCAGTAGTGTGCATCGATGCGTCCACTGTGGTCCTCCAAGGTGTACGTAATCTTCGTCGAAGATGTCTCCACATTCCTCACAATGCCCACAACACAGACCAAGGCGTATGTAACATCGAACATCTTGAAGTTGCCCTCGGGCGAATCGAGTATTTGTTTCACCAGCAAAGAAATGATTCCCTGAACAGCACCAGATTCAGTATATCTGTGTATCTTAAATTAAACCAAAATATTGAACTCACCTCGCCGGAAGACTCTTTTGTGGCACCCGCTGTGGCCGTTTGTGTGCCATTGAAATCACCAACTAAACAAATAAAGTACATTAAAAATATTTCAATAACTACGAGCAACAACTTACATGAATCATTCATTTTATTAATTGAGTCTGAAATTTTTTAGAGGACAGAAATTCACTGAACCACACAAGCAACAAAACGCGCCAAATATTAATGGAAGGCAGACACACGTCACGACTGGTTGGACATGCATACGATAGTAACGATTTGCGGAATAACTAATAAGTACCTTACATGGGAATAAGATCTCTTACATATACATACATACACATATACATTAATTATGACTCATGTTGAAAATATTATTGCATTTTTATTAAGAAATCATTTAACCTGCCAGATTCGTAACTTAAGACCTTTTTGTTTGCCTAAATACTTTTCACAGTATGTTAAAGTAAGCTATGTAGTTGAATGCTTAGAATATCCCCGAATAGATAAAAGACTTTAGAACCATGAAATTGAATATTTTAACAACTGATAACTTAAGGGAACAATTGTGAAATAAAATATTTATTGTTTACTATATCGCTTAAGCGATGAATACTAATAGTTACGAGTATTTACTGCTGGGCGCTGCCAACTTTGTCCAAACATTTAAATTATCTGTGTTAAGTGTAAATCGTTTTATACATATGTGTGTACGTATATTAAATTGTTGCTGCAAGGGAATAGGCAATTTCATAGGTTTTTCAATATATCAAAATTATCCTCTATCAAATGCTCCCGCTCTATCCACCAGCGGACTGTCATGCCTGAGAGTGGTTGTGTCGTGTATCGCGTATGCCAGAGTTGCCAGCTCGTTTTAAAGAACACCTGTTTATAAATTCATCAGTTGGTATTCAATGCAATTTGGATTCTGAGTTTGTGCACATAAAATGAACACGCTGCGTCCTTGCGGCTGCAAAGGTGTTCGGACCTGTCTCACTTGTGAGCAGAACTTCAATATCGAAAAACCTTCCGTCCAGCAGCAGTTTCAACAGCTTGAATCTTGGTCCTATTGCACAAAATGCGAAGCTTTTTACCCCGGCTGGGATACGCAGGCAGTGCAGGCAGCCCATTCAGATCACACTTTGACAGACAGCTTGGCGTTGCCTGGCATATACGTGCAGGAGCAGTTTCTGTCAGCTGCCGAAGGAAAACAGCTCATAGCGGATCTGGATGACCTGCCTTGGGATATTTCCCAAAGTGGGCGACGCAAACAGAACTATGGTCCGAAAACCAACTTTAAGAAGCGTCGCCTGCAACTGGGCTCCTTTCAGGGATTCCCTGCTGCCACTCGCTATGTGCAACAGCGTTTCGAGTCAGTTCCATTGCTGCGCGACTTTCAGACTATCGAACAATGCTCGCTGGAGTATGAGCCCAGCAAGGGAGCCAGCATAGATCCTCACGTAGACGATTGCTGGATTTGGGGCGAGCGGGTGGTGACAGTCAATTGTCTCGGAGATGCAGTGCTCACCTTAAATCTCTACGATCAGAAGCTGGCTGGCAAATATAATTTGGACCTGGTGCCGGACTACGAAAATCATCTGCTAGAGCCGCTTTTAACGCAGGAACAGCTGGCTGCCTATAAGGGCAAGGTGCTACGCATTCCCATGAATAAGTGAGTGGCTATATCCGTATACATCTTTACAGATCATATCTGATTTAGTTGAGTATATAGACCATCATATAGTCGAGACTCTATATGGTCATCTCTTTTCATCAGGTAAAGCATTGTTTTTTTCTGTGCAGTCTTTGCATAAATTATATGTATATTTACAAGTTAAGCTGAGAACATGTTTGTAGACTAGACTAGAATATATTGTATTAGCAATGTAAATGCAAAATAGAATACCTAATTAATTAAGCTTCCCTGCTTTCTTCTTTTCTTTTTACAGCCTCTCCTTAATCGTGCTTTATGGACCTGCTCGATATCAATTTGAGCACTCGGTCCTGCGAGAGGATGTGACCGAGCGCAGGGTCTGCATTGCCTATCGAGAGTTCACGCCCATGTATATCGATGGCATAGATAAAGATAAAGGTCAGTTGGTAAGAGATAATGTAAACTGGACAATTAAAAGTAATTGAAGTTGAAACCAAAGTTGAGATTTATTTATGGTCATCGATGCCGAGTTCAGTTAGCTTCTGTTGTTGCGCTGGTCGATAGTCGAGCAGGGCAACCTGGGCGGGCAGCTGGACGCCGTGCATCCGTTTTAAATGCGCACGCAAATTGCTGCTGGTGCTGAAGCTATTCAAGCAAACAACACATTGGTGGCTATTCGCATGCTTGGCGCGGATGTGGGCATTCAGGTCTTTCACCTTGACAAACGCTGTTGTGCAATATTTGCACACATGCGACCGTCGCACGTGGGTCTTTAGGAACTGCTGCGAGGCATATGCCAAAGGACAATATTTGCACTTGTATATGGCCTGACTGCCACTTGGTTCGGTGTCCAGCAGACGGTTGGTCTCATTGTACTCGTCTAGATTGTCATGCTTAAGTTCTACGGCTGCATAATCGAGGGTGCGCAGTTCGTAGCTGGAGAAATGGGAGAACTGATTCGACATGCTGTCGTGCTGTTGCACATCTAGCTCAGTAGCGGGCAAAAATTCCGAAACAATCAACGAATCCTCGTTGGCCAAACGCTGAGAGGGCCGTCGCTCCAAAAGAATATGCTGCTCTAACTCTTGCACTGGCCCCTGTTGCTGCAGCTGCTGTTGCTCCAGCTCTAGCTCCTGTTCAAGTTCAAGCTCAAGGTCTTGATGCTGATCTAGCGGATGATGCTCCTCCTCCGTCAGCTGCATATCCTCCTCCATCTCCAGCTCCAATTGCTCCTTTTCCATTTGTGCTTCGTTGTAGAGCTGCCGCAGCTGTTGGTTGGCTATCATCAGTTTGCTAAAGTACGCAAAATGAGCTAAACTCTCCTCGAGGCATGCTCTGCATATCATGGGTAGCTCTGTGGATAAATCCAGTGAGATGTGCTGCAAGTTTGAAAGAATGAGTATGTAAATATAATTTTATATATATCTCCTTTAGGTCATGTGCAACCTACAAACATAGCCTCCATTATTTCACATATTGTATGCTCCTCATCTTCGGATTCCGCTTCGCTTGTTTGACCCGCTGTTACTACTTTATGCTGGGTTATGTCTACTTCCGCATTATCTACAAAGCAAATGCGGCACAATTTGCGTAGATCTATGTTCATATCTTTTACTTTTATATCAACTATTTAAAATTATTGATTCTTGTGGCAATGAAAACAAATTTTTTGTCAGGCTATGTCCAATCAGCTGTTTGACCAGGGCTGCAAAAAACAGTACGTGCAAAGTGCGTACTGTTAACATCCCTGTTATTCAGTGCTGTTAAATAACTCTGATAAAGTTACAAACAGTTACAGTTCTACAGTTTGTAATCTGCTTATGGCAAACCCCATTTTTTTGTTCTTAAACATGTATACTTCCTTGTAACCTTTCTGTGTGTATATTGCCACTATTGCATCTAGTATATACTTACATATTTATGTTCACATATTTATGCCATTTCCCGAATAAATATCAACAAAATTAGTTTCTGTTTTCAAAATAAATTTTATTCAGTTTTTTCTTACTTCTTTTTTTGTTTTTTGTATGTTTTGTCGCATTCATTTCTCTCGATTTGTTTAAAGGTAATTTACTATTTAAATAATTTAATTCCGTTACTGCTTACAATTAATTATTATCGTCAATGTGACGAAAGTTATTTGTCTGTCAATAATTCTTATCGACAACAGACTTTTTTTTTAATTTTGGTTTTACTAATTTTTTTTTGTTTTTTCTTTCTTTTTTGGCTTTTAATCTTTATTTCAATTTGCGGTAACGATTTATTTTTATAATTATGCAATTAACTATTTAAATTGAATTTGTAGTTTTTTGTTGTTTGGGATATTATTTCTGTGTTTTTATTTGGCTTGTTATTGATAGGCGTTGGGATTTTTTTAACGGTCTTTGTTTTGGTGAGATTTAGTGCATAACATTTGCAGTGTTAGCCATGCTTTTTATTTGAAATTTAAATGCTAATTATTAAGTACACATTTTGTTTTAAATGTAAATGTAAACCGATTTTTTGGGACTTTAGTGTTTTTTTTTTTTTTAAGTTCAAGTTTTTAGATGCATAGATATGCAACAAAATGTATTTGCAATAAAAAAGTAAAACTGAATTGTTGAATTTTTTCGAGCTGCATTTTATTTAGAATAAGACGAATGTGTGTGTGTGTGTTGTGGGTATGTATGTGTGTGTGTGGGTGTGCCAACCTTTTTGTTTTTAGGTAGTTGAAGCATTTAGTCAAACTCTCTGATCAGAATTATTAGCAAGTAGACTTTTCGCTTTGTTTTTCTTTTCATGTCTTTATAACTTTTAGCAAATGATATCATTTTATTCATATTTTGACTTTTAACTACATTTTGCCGCGTGAAATGTGTTTTTGTTATTTATTTTATTAACGTATTACTTTTTGCTGTAATATTAAATTCGTTTTTTTTTTGTTTTTTTTTTTTTTTTTGTTTTTCATTAATGTTAGCCCTCTCCTAATGTAGGACGCTTATTTTATAGTTTATTTTAAATCTTTTGTTTCTTTTTTATTCTTTTGTTCTTGTTTTTTCTTTTTTGTATTCTTTGTTTGCCTAGTTAATGCTATAGTATTATACATACATGTAGACTTCAATCTTTTAAAGAGTGTAGAAAACGGTTTTTGCTTTGTTAAAATAGCTTCTTTTTATCAAAAAGACATACATATATATAGAGTTATATATATAGATAGTAAATCTAATTATGCGCCTAGTTGCTCGAAGCTAAGCACTAAATTAATAATTTATATAAAAAAATTATATACTAATTCCAATTGAATTACATTGCTAATTGCGCGAATCACAAAAAAGGAAAGGGTCTTCGAAACGTCAAATAAGTGGAACTTAATTCTCTTTCATTGTTTCATTGTTCGCTAAACAACCTCAAAGGGACAGAACAGTTAGTAAAAAATTAAATTATATCAAACCAAAACAATGAAAGCGACTGCCCTCTTGTACATATATATCTTTCAGATCTTAAGTTCAGCTCACACTTCAGAGTGTGCGTAGATGCGTGTGGGTGTGTATGTGAATGTGTGGGTGTCTTGGATTAATAATAATACTTGCCCCGCCTTGCAGTCGAGGGACTTGAAATTTGCGTGTGTGGGTACACACTATATGGTGTTAAGGTTTTTTGGATCCTTTGGGAATTACTATACCTTTTAGAATATAAATAACTATCAAAAGTCAGATTTGGATGCTTGTGTGTAGCAGATAAAAGTAGGCTATAATTAAAATCATTGAAGAAATCGAAATAAGTAAGCAAATCGGGAATTACTACATTCCTGATAATATTATCGCAATTGATAATAATCAGGATGGAGCTTTGTTGTCGCTCAGTTGATTGCCTTCGACTCTGTGAGAGAACTAACTGTAGCTGTCGGGTGGGTTTAACATAAGCACAGATCGGAGCTGGTTGTATGTGGGATATATAGCGAGTATGTGCGAGTTCATACGGCAGTGTTTACGAGACATATGCATGAACATGTGTAACAAGGAGGTAGGTTTTTTTTTGCTTTAAATATATATTTCATTGTTTTAGTAGTGTGTAGAAAAGGTTTTTCTTATAGGTGGGTTTCTGAAAAGTTTTACAATCTGGGAGCGTATTTTGTTTATACCGTAAATATCACTGTTTCGCTTGAAAGTTAAAACAAAGTTTTTGGCTAGGGTATGTGGAGGAAAATCAATATAATTACGAAAATTTCCAACAAAATTGTGTTGTAGATGTTGTTGTAGTTTCAGTAGTCATTGGTTGGTTGTGTTTTCTTTGCTTTCAGGGATTTGTTTGCAGTTGTTGCTTTTGTTTTATTAAAAATATATCTGTATACGAGTTATGCGGTGATATATTTGTCATAAAATATATATACACCTGCATTTATTAATTTATATATATATATTTACTGCTCATTTCATTTGTATTGCTAGACTTTGTTTTCTGTCTGTGTTTTATTTGACTAATTTTCGTCTTTTGCATTTAATTAATTGGTGACTATAACGTGTGTGTGTGTGTGTTTTGTTTTGTTTTGTTTGCTTTTAGTTATTAGTTTTAGTATTTTTCAATTGGCTACAACATTATCAACAATAAATTTTCTAAAAACAGCGTTTGTTCAATGAACATATTCTCAAAGTATTTGTTCTGTTTAAATTTACATATTTATTTCAGTATTTTTGTTGTTGTTTTACTTTCTTATTTTTGTATGTGTGTTATTTAACTATATCATATTTCATGTTTATGTTTATATATATTCCTTATTATGTGTCAGTTTGTTACTATTTACGCCCCACCTAAATGCTATCCCAACCACAGAACTTATAGTATACACGCTCAGTAAAAAACTGTTTTTTAAATAAACGAAAAAGCGTACAAATTGAATTGAAATTAATTAAACTTGTGTTTTTCTGTCATTTAAAGGGGAAAAATAAAAAATATATTTAATACTTCTAGTAAACTTAATAAATGTTTTAAAATATTGCCAACATATTTGTAATTAAAATGAAAAATCTATATTTCAAATATAACCGAATTTAAATCAAATTAAAAGATTGCCTAAGGAACGTATAAAGTTAAGCCAAGAAATTATAGCATAGTTTGGTCCACAAGTTGAAAACTATTTCGAACAGATAAATAATTGATGGAAAAAAGGATTCGTAAAGTCCATTTCAGAATATTTAACACTGTTTCCCTTGGTTTATATGTTTTACTCAATTAAGTCCTTGAGAGTGTGTGTTTGTGTTTTAAATACATATCTAATGTCTCATAGGAACAATCTCTCTTATATACATACATATAATGTATTCACTTCTCCTTTTGTTTGTGTATTTTTGTGTGTGTGTATCTGTGTGTGTGTGTAGACTCACATACATAATTTATAACAACTCAGCATAATTAACTTATATGTTTTTCACATACACATACACACCGTGTGTGTGTGCGAGCTTAATTGCAAAATCCATTTTGTCCTTTTTTCTCCGAAATTTTTATTGCTATTACTATGCAAATGTTTTTGTTTTTTGTTTCTTTTCTTGTAATTTTAACCTAGACATTTAGCTTCATTTTCTTCTTCTTATTTTTGTTGTACGGCAGTAATTTTTGCTTTGTTTTTTTGTTTTTGTTTTTTTTTTTTTTTGTTTTGTCGGTTTTCTTCATCATAAAATAATTCTTCTTTTCCTTTGAATACACAACAATTTCTGTGTGTATGTGTTTGCGTGTGTGTATTTGTTTTCCCTTTCTCTCGCATTTGTCTTCTTTTCCTTTTCTTACACATTGACTTAAAAATGTAATTAACAATTTTTTTTTTTAAATTTTGTTTTTTTTTTTTTTTGCGAAGCAGCTTCTCTAGTTGTTTTGAAAATGAACTTAACTAGACATCTACTCATTTACTGTAGATGTATATGTCTGTGTGTGTTTGCATGTTTTCGTTTGTGTGTTTGTGTAGCTTAACGTGTCTAAATTGAGCGGCCTTATTGCACGATTATATGTGGAGCTGAGAGCAACACGGTTACCGTCGCAATAATCGTAAAGAGCGTAAAAACAATTAAACAAAATCTGTGAAGTAGAAGAAAGGCAAGAAGATTAAGTGCGGTTACACAAAGAACATACAAAAATCATGTAGTATATTGTAATTATGTATGCATATATGTATATCCACAGTACATACACATTCCCACATGTACATAACTTTCCCCATCTACGAAATAGCCGCAACAGCCACGCTTGTATATTAAAGCCACGTGTTGTGATTGTGTGTGCCTAAGTGTGTGGGTATGTGTGCGTAAATGCATATACATATATGCTTCGTATATGCTAGAGCAAATAACCGGAAGTTGTGTGGCCATGTGGCTGTTGCCTTAATTGTTTGATTTAGTAGAGCGCCAGGGAGTTCTTACTAACCGCACTGTTTGCAGTCATTGTTAGTTATTCACCAGATTTAAGCTAGTCTGTATATTCAACTGGTCAGTGAGGTCAGTTCGCATAGGCCTAATCACACATTTTCACAAGGTCGTGCGTGAATATCAATGTGAATGAATAATCGACTATCTAGTTAAACTTTAGTCAAGGGATATTTTTGGATTGAAGTTAATTGATGGAGATGAGCTCCTATTCAGACTTCACATTGGGGCAACCGATCATTTTTCGATATCTTACCTATCCACAACCATTGCAGCGAATTTCCAATCGCTTATCAATTCCGCTTCGTCGTCAGCTTTGCGCATGCGCGCGGTTATAAATTGCAATTCTTTAAGAATTAAGTGTAAATCTTTGTGATTGCAGCCTATTGCAGTGTGATGCTCCTCCACCGTCGTGGGTCGGCCAAAGCTACTGCATTAGCGATAACAAGAAAATCGATAAACATGCGATAAGTGTAACGGGCGAATAGCGATACTTACGCCGATGAACCGATAGCGGTTTGTGAGCCCGATATTGTATGACGAAAATCGTCATCGATGTCAAGGACATTGGCGAGTAACGATTTGGAAGAACGTTCCTTTAATTCCAGTTCTTTCATGCGATTGCTTAATAATATTGATTTGCGCGTGATCTTGCGACCAGGCCGGCCCATGCGCAATATCCAGGGCAGCCATTGTAGGAAAACGGATTTGATCTGACAGACGAAAAAGTCGTTGTGCATTTCTTGCAAGTTTTCTACACGTCTGCATATGTGACTTACCCACGGTGGCATCTCGTGTATATCCGCTGTACGATGATGATAGTTAAGCACCACAACCGTTAGCACCACAGACGATGCAACCATGAACATGATGCAGTTGAAGTATGTGCCTAAATATCATATACACCAACATCAAAACAAGAACAAAAAATAAAGAAAAAATTGTATATACAATATTAGTATTATTCGAACCATGGGCCTGCAAAAATTATTGCGCAACACTAAGAACAGAAGCTTGAAAAATAATAATTTACAAAAAACAGCATTTACATTACGTTAGTTAGTTTCGTACTATCATGATAAATAATACGAGAGTATTTACAATTTGAGTGTGTGTCAAACAAATGCTGTGATTTTCTTCTGAGCATGCACTTGAGGCTACGACTCTACGACCATACAACAGATTACAGATTACAGATTATCTCGCATGCAGAGGGGCTTTTGGTATTAGGCATTACATGCAGCTTTGTTTAGTTAAACGGTTCAATCGTCTCCGTGCAAGCAATTTTGCAAAAAAAAAAAAAAAAAAAAAAAAAAAAAAAAAAAAAAGAAAATCAGGAAAGTAGTCAAAATATAGTAATAATTGTAATATGTCAAAAATGTAATTGAATTTAATTTACGTTTAGAAAAACTCTGAGAATTTAGCTCCTCTAATTCATTTGCAAACCAAAAAAAAACATTATTGTATTTATTACTGTTATTATGAAAAAGATTTTCGAGCTCGAATTTGTTGTTCTTGAATGTGGATTATATTGTTATTGCTTATACAAATAACAAAATTGTTTTCATTTTGAAAAACAAAACGTTCATTTCTTATTTATATATTTAGTA